TTTGGGTCTCCTTTAGCAAGCTGTTGACTTGTTTTTCATGATTTTCTTGTATCACTCTCATTTCTCTTCCCAGTTTCTCCTCTACTTCTCTTACTTGCTTCTCAAAATCCTTTGTTAGCTCTTCCAAGGGCTGGGACTGATTCATATTTTTCTTGGAGGCTTTGGATGTAGGAGCTTTGACTTTGTTGTCTTCTGGTTGTATGTTTTGATCTTCTTTGTTACCAAAAAAGATTCTATGGTCTGACACTTCTTGTGAGGTTTGCTCATGTTCCCAGCCAATTACTTGAGTTATAACCTCTTTATTAAGGTAAGAGTCTGCTTCCAATGTGGAGAATGTACTATCCCAAGCTTCAGGGGTTTGTACAGCTGTTTTTTGAGATACTTCTAGGGACCTGTAAATTTTCAGTTCTTCCAAGGTGGTATGATAAGGGGTGAGGTGTTTACTCTTTTCCTGGCCTGTGCTCTGGTCTATAAGTGACCATAAGCTCTCTTTTCTGTCTTGGAACCGTGAGGAGGATTTTCTCTTCATGGCCACTACAAGCTCCACCATGCCAGCACTCCTCCTCGCCCCAGGACAACCACCCAGAACTGTGACCCAGATCCAAGCACAGGCAAAGCAAGAGATTCCTGCCTCAGCACTGACAAAGAGATCCCCGCAATCCCCCTCTGATCAACCATCGATTCCACCTTAGTCTGTGGGCCAGAAGCTCAGGAGGCAGCCACTGCCCCAGAGCAGTGCTCAGAGCTCTGTGCTTGGAAGTGGCTCTGAGACCTAGCTTCTCTCTCACCGCAGAAACAGACTTTTCCCACTAACCTTCTAAGTTGTCTTTGGCGTTCATGGGTTGGAAAGTCTGGAAACTGCCACAGCTGCCTGTGATTCAGTCCTCTGAGGCCTGCTGCAGGTTTGCTGTGGCCTGCACACCCGTGCCTACACTGCACTGCACTCCTCTCCTCACCCCCTGCGATAACCATCCAGGCTATCTTGGGCTGGAAATTTGTTTCACTCTGTCTTTTTGTGGGTTCTGCTGCTTTAGAATTTGTTTAGAGCCATTTTTTATAGGTATTTGGAGGGGTTTGAGGGAGAGCTCAAGCAAGTCACTGCTTTCACTCTGCCATCTTGGCTCACCTCCCCACCCCCGCCCCACCCCAGTCCTTTGCTCTTGAAGAGTACTAAAATGACATCACTATGTTGGAGTCAAAATCCAGTGTGTCCCACTGTGGCTAATCAGACCAATACAAGTTCAGAAAACCCTGCTACAGGTCAGGCACAAATAGTCCACATGGACATTTGGAGTAGATGGAGATATCTCTAAATGTGTGCATCTTGGATTTCTGTTGAGCTACTGCAATTCTGCTTCACTCATAAGTGCTCAACACCTTCTTTGATACAGGCATACCATGGTGGATAGCCCTTTCCCAGTGTTTCCCATGTGTCACAATTAATTCTCAAGTTCTTTAGAGAGACCTTAAGTGTGTTCTTGTCTCACTTCTTCTGACTTCCATGTGAGTGTTTGCTAAGAAGCATTCCTCTAACCATCATGTTTTCTCTTAAACTTCCAAAGAATTGGTCTATAAAGTAGAGGGCCAGGGTCCCAAGTGGAGCCACAAGGGTGTTAAGGAGAGAGTTGTCTGGGGTCAAGTGGTGTGTGATTCAGCAATAAAAGGGTGGAAGGTAAGTTACATCACACCCTTCTTGCAAAAGACAGTCATGGTTTGTCTTAAACACAGCCACAACAACCCCTAACTCCTAATGCTCTGTCCCTTTCCTCTGTTGATCAAGATCCCAAGCTTCCCCTCTTTCAAGTCCCTTTGGGAAGTTTTAATTCAAAGTAACTGCTAACTATAACAGCTGTGAAAATATCATTGGGAAAATTCAACCTCTAACACCTGTTCCCCAGATCATCTTTTGGCTGCAGCAGGTGCCCTTTGGTAGATTGGCTATGTTTTCTAGGACAGTAATAAGTGAGTAAGGAACCCACCTACCCCCTTTTAAATTTTGAGTGAAATAGGATGAATCACACAGGTTGGGCAGGCATAGTTGGCTTATGACCTAAATGGCAGATACCATTATATTATCTTTCCTTTCAAATCTTCCCTTCTGTCAAAATGCCCTATTACTGTAAAGGGCACCACCATCGCAGTCATCTAGATTTTTGAAATCTTAGTATCATCTTTGACTCTTTACTTTCCTAACATGCACATATCCAATTACTTGCCAAATATTATTGTCTTTATCTCTTCAACATCTCTTTCATATTTCCTCTTCTCTCCACCCATACTACCAGTGCTGTAGTTCAGAACTTCATCACCTCTCCTCTAGATAAATTCAATTACTTCCAAATTGATCTTCTTTCATCAAATTTCTCTCCATTCCAGTCCATCTTCCCCCCAGCTTCCAAAGTGATTGTCTAACACGCAGGTCTGACTGTGCCACTCTCCAATCAATAAATCCAATGGCTCTCTATGGACTCTAGTACCAATTATCATTTCATCATAATTTTAGCCTTTTATAAATTTCTACTTTTTATAATATTTATAACATACATAATTATTAGCATGTGTATAAAATTTATAAGTTATTAGGCACAAATCGGGTATTTATGCTTAAAACATTTTTTTTAACTGATAATACTGCTTTCAAAATGGACCATTACTCTAAAGGGTCTCTAAAGTTGCACACTAGAATGAACTAATCATTTTCCATAGCATGAGGAACCCTAGCTAGCAACAGTTCCACCACTTATTAGCTCTGTGTTGTTTAGGAGTTATTTCACCATGGAAGTGATTGTTGATAAATCAAAATAAATTAATAAAATTTGAAAAAAAGAAGTTATTTCACCACTCTGAATGATCTTTAAAATGAGACTAATGTTATTTATGCTAACTCTCAATGTTGTTAAGAAGTCACTTTGTAAATTATTAGTACATCATCCTACACAATATATCTGGTGACAGATACCAAGTATTGCAGAGAATTGCTCTTAGAGTTCCTAGGAAGTGGGCCATTGTGACACATTGTATCTGGAACTGGGAATATCCTACCCCTTCTGTCCCCTTTCTGTAGCGTGGAAGGCACATGATCACCAGCGTGCCTTTGGTTCCAACTGATCACTTCTTTACCTTACGGGAGAATTTAACGTTTGTGGGGAGGCCACGACTCCCTTTCTACTGTGCCTAGCATCAGAAACTTTGCACACTTGAAAACAATCTCATCTTTTCTTCAGTATCCAAGGGGTTGTCTTGCCCATTTGGTCCATCTCTTGAACTCATTTTTAGTTACTACCACTAAAAATGAAATTTAGAAGTCTCTTTATTCAAGGAGACTTTGTGGATCAGGTCTTCCTCTTAATATTCTGCTACCTCTTTTTGAACCCTGTTCTTTTTGGTCCTGCACATGCAGTGTCACTTCAAGTGTACAACTCAAATGTACTAGAATGAGAAGGACTTTGGGACTATAAATGCTATTCAGTTGAATCACGCAGAGTGAATTAGATGGTGGCATAATGCTGGGTCAATTTTCAAATGCTGCTGCTGCAAGACGCTGATGTGTTGGATCATATGATAGAGTCAAGCTCCAAAAAAGTTCTGGATGATGATGATGGGCCAAATCAAATACCTTGAAATCTAATAGCAGTCTGTACGTAGTAACAGTTAGCATTTATAATAGTGCTTTGCAGTTTGCTAAGCACCTTAAAAATATTACCTCCCTTTATCCTCACCATTACACTAGGGATTAGTTACTATTAATATTTCCATTTTATAAATTAGGAAATTGAGGCAAACTGTACTTAAATGACTTGCCCAGGGTCACACAACTAGCAAATATCTAAGGCAGGATTCGAGCCTAGGTCTTCTGGATGGGAGGTCCAGTACTTTCTTTATAGTAGTCACTTAATAAATGTTTGTTGAATTGAGTCAGGATCAACATAAAATCTTACACTTAGATTAATCAATCAATCATGCATGTATATATTTGGCTAGAGAATAGCCCATATGAAAAAAGTCTGAGAACTGTATTGGGCTGTAAGCTGGTATGAGTCTATACTGTGACATGGAGAAAAAATACTAGTAAGATCTTAAGCTACATTAATGGAGGCATAGTGCCTAGACAAGGGAAATGATAACGTTTTTATATTGTCCTCTGGTCAGACCACATTTTGAATATGCGGTTCAGTTCTGGATTCCACACTGGATGTCGACAAATTGGAGCATGCTCAGAGGATTTTTTTGACCAAAATGATAAGAGGACTAGACACAATTCCTCATGAAATTTGGTCGAAGGACCTGAAGTTATTAAGCATGGAAAACAAGGAGAAGATTTGGAGAGTATACATATGAGTATACATTGGGAGGGCTTCCATACAAAAGAGAAATTAGACTTGATTTGCTTGTTTCTAGACAACGTAAATAAGAACAATGGGTAGAAATTGGAGGTAAGTAGATGTTGGCTCATAAAAGGAAAAATTCTCAAGTATTTAGAGCAATAAAAAAGTTGAACGGGTGCACTTAAGAGATTACATGCACCCTATACCAGATGTCTTCTGATGGGGTATTGGAAGGACACTTTTCAGGTATTTCACAGGAGGGATTCTTGGTTAGACATAGATTTGACTATACAATCTATGAGATACTTTCCAACTCTTAGGTTTTATGATACTATAAAATCTAGAACTGGATCTATAAGCCTTATAAATATAGTTTCACATTATACAATGAAAACTATGTAGACAGACAACATTAAGAGGTCCTTTCTAGGGATTCACTTATCATTCCCTTTTTTGACACAGGACTTTTCTGTAGGCCCTGACCTTTGGGGTTATATTTCTTCTTCCATTCCATCTAGTCCTGGGTAGAAAAAGCCCACATTCAATTTCTAGAGTACCATAGGATCAGAGCTAGAAGAGAATCTAATACTTTCTGATTGGGATTCAGGGGTATCTTTTATTGCTTTTTGTTTGGAATTACTATCCCTTCAGTTAGCAGTGTAATCAGAACCTTACCTGTCCTACAAAGTCAGCTGATGTGCTTCTGGAACTGCCCATAAGAATTGTTTTTCTCTTGATTTTCTCTCACAGTTTTTCTTTATAGGCTATTCTACCAGACCCTACTTTCTGCAATACTGCATTCTGCAGTATTTCTTTCTCATTCATTCCTATCTATCTTTTTCCTCTAAATAAACTCCTCAGCATCCCATAACTATCTCTGAACACAATCCCATATTATTTTGTCATAGTTCTATCCTGATATTCATAATGCGCATTTATGACTCCTTCCTCACAGTGATCCAGTAGAACAAGGAGAAGATGCAAGCCATGAAATTTGTGACTTCTTGTCCTCCAACCACAAAGCTTACTAAGGTGGGCACACTCATAAAGTCAAGGCAATAAGAAAGCCAAAGAATGGCTAGGTTGGAAATTAGGAGGAAACATAAGTAGGCTTGTGCTGGAACCTGTCTCAACCAGCTTGCCAGAGCTAATTGTTAAATTTTCAATGTGAGCATTTGCATCTCATAAATTGGCAGCAATCCTTTTGCTTTGTTTGTTTTCTAGACTAAGAAAGTGATGGAGAAAATGCTAACAATGTAAATTAAATTTAAAAGTGTGTCATATATACATTTTTTCTGGACAGCCATTTTGTTAAATATTTACTTACATACCACTGAATATAAAGCACTAGGAGTTTTCAAGGATATGGTGAAGGAGAAGAAAAAGGAGGAAGAGGAAAAGGAGAAGAAGAAGGAGAAGAAGAAGAAGAAGAAGAAGAAGAAGAAGAAGAAGAAGAAGAAGAAGAAGGTCTACCAATATTTCTCTCTGCACACACACACACACACACACACACACACACACACATTTGCTTTTTCTTCTTTGGTCATGAGTAAAGGGACTCTTTAATCAAGCCATGCTAATGTGGTTGTCTTCATTACACTATGCTATGTAATAGGGTCCACTATATAGAAATTCATCAAGAAAGGGGAAAAATATTGAGATTTCCTGATCAGTGAAAGGTCAAGTAAAGATTATTCTAATTGAGCAAAACCACACTGATCACATCTCTAAAGACTAATGAAGCATGTTATTACCACCCCAAAAATGATGAGACTAGGGAATAGAGATAATAGCTTTTTTGAGAACCATAGAGACATTGGCATTGTCCCTAAGTAAATTTTGGTGTTCGGTGGAGTGTATAACCGATAATATAAAAATGGGAAGCCTGACCAGCACCTTGGCCCACATCACTAAAAAGGATCAGGTAATTGAGTAGAATTCCTTTGGTAAGAGTTAAAGAAGATAGATGTTCATCTGAATGTGGTGAGTTGTCATTATTTCTTCATCTGAAATGCTTAGACCCTACATTTTCATTTTAACACATATATCTGGAGTCACCTTGTTTGACAGGAAGATGCAAAGCATCAAATTGTCAAAAGGGGTCACCTTCCCTGGAGTAGTCCCTGCATTTCACAATCAATTTCTCCCCGTTGATTTCATTAAGAATAAGGTTGATGCCTTTTATTCTTGTATTACAACCATCTCTGTATGTAGTCCACCCGTGAAATGAAACACTTTCCTATGAACAAAAAACAAGCAGTTAAGTAAAAATAACTAATACAGTGACTACATCTGTCAAAACAGGCAACATTTTATCCTTATAGTATCCTGCTAAGGGAGGTATGTATCATTATCTATTTATTCTCTGGGGCGCACAACTATGAGAGAAAGCATTATTGTGTATGTATGTATATGAATGTATAGTATTTATACATATAAATCAAGCTTTAGCGACAACTCTGGGTCTCCTTAAGTATGCCTGGAGAAAAATAAGCAAATTTTGTTCTAGTTTCAATGAAGGTTATGATGTATAAAGAACTGGTCTTGAAGTGAGGAAAACCTGGGTTCTAGTCCTGACACACACTCTGGCTGGGTGATTCAACAGTGACTTATGTAACTTCTTGGTGCCATATGCAAATCTTTACAATTTGAAATTTCACATTTGAAGCTGCTGACCGGCAGTAGGAGAGGAATTGTCCTCATTCAGGAGTTTTCTATGCCAATGAAATCAGAGGTCCAGTTCCTTAAAGTTTCATGAATATTCCATGAATTGCTTCTCAAGATTCTCAGATATTCTTAGGCATTAGGCAAACCCATCTTACGTTAACGTCTTCAAATTTAGGAAAATACTGTAGATTCCCTTAGAAGTAGATTGTCTTTTACCTGAATTATTAGTCTCATCTCAAAATGGAGCCTAAAGTGATTCAGTAGGTAATCAATAGCAGTCTTTGATTGATGGTCAATAGAGGAAGGAAGGTTTAATGAGCAAAATATGGGACTGGGAACCAAGCCATATCTGAATTCCAATCTTCAGTTGGCCTTATACTCAAAGGCCTAATGAGATGTTTTTCTTCCTGGGGCCAGTTCCAAAAACTGACTCTGTTCTACATAATCATCTTTTCAATTTCTTTCCCCTCTCTGTTTTCCTTCCTGCTGCCCAAATGGACAGAACCCAAACATTGAGACATACAGAAACAGGAATACCCTTCTTCCAAACTACCTTAGTATTGTCAAGGATATTGGTATCCTTCCATGACATCTGATATGCTGAGGTTATCCATGATTCTCTCATTGTTATCCATGATTCCTTACTCTCATTCAACCCCCAGATCTAAATAAAGTAAAAACTGGGGAATGTATGGTCAAACTGATAATTAGCCTATTTCTTCCTAGGTCCTGGTAACAATGGTTATAAGCACTGAATGGTGTTTTAGAAACTGTTAGATTTTTGGTTTTAGAGCTGTTGTTCTCCCTTTTCCTTTATGATACCTGGGTATTTTGCTTGGATCCACTCAGGTGTCATATATTATTCCTACCTCTCCAACATCTCAGATATCCTTTCAATTTTCCCCACTGACAGCCACCACCCTCATCAGACCTTCACCATCTCTAGACTATTACTGGTCTCTCTGCCTCAAGTCTCTCCCTACTGCAATCCACCTTCAAATACCTATCAAAGTGTTTTTCCCAAAAGTGCAATTCCAACCATGTCATTTCCCTTCTCCAATAAACTCCAGTGGATCCTTATTATATCTTGGATCAAATGTAATACCTTTATTTGACATTTAATACTCTTTGCAGCCTGGCCCCAATCCAACTTTTTAACCTTATGATATGTCAGTACCATTTATACATTCTATAGCTCAGACAAATTGATCTCATTATTCCCCATACATGACACTCCATCTCTAGGCGTTTTCATTTGATGACCATCATACCTGGTAAATACTGTTTCCTCACCTCCACCTGTTAGAATGCCTAGTTTCTTTCAAAATTTAGCCCAAATGCTACCATCCACAAGAATTCTTCTTTGATTTTTCCAGACATTAGTGGTTCCCCCCACCAAAAAAATTGTAGGTATCTATTTTTCATCTCTCTCTGTCTCTCTGTTTCTCTGTGTGTCTCTCTCTGTCCCTGTCTCTCTCTCTGTCTCTGTCTGTCTGTCTCTATATATACACACATACATATATACATGTAGTTTCCTTTGATACAATGTAAACTTATTGAGGGGCAAATGCTGTTCCACTTTTGTCTTTGTATTCTCTTCATCTAGCATAATGACTGGTTCATATTAAGTGCTTAAACATTTTTGTTGATTAATATACTGATTGATTAACAATGACACCAAGGCAAAACCAGTAGGCAGAATACAGGGATACTAAAAACCCACAAATGACAGAAATGTTATTAATATTTAAAAGGCATCATATTTTCAGTTGATCACAAACTCAGTATGTGGCAATGATGTGATGAGTTGGTAAAAATGCTAACAGGATCTTCAACTACATTACCACAAAACATACTATATGTAGAGTGAAGCAGAATGATAGTCCTATGTCTGTAGTATCGTATCTACTTTGGGAATCCACATTTTGTGACAGACACTGATAACCTGGAATATACAGGGGAGAGCAAATAGAATGTTGAGAGAGTTTGAAACCATTCTATTTGTCCAAAGATTTGCTGGAGGATTCAGGGTTCTTTAACCTGGAGAAGAGAAAATATGATGAGAACAGGATGAGAGAAATTGGGTTGGAGAAACACAATCTTTAATTTTGTGAAAGATAAATATGCCAAAGAGGTTATATAATTTTTTCTGCTTGCCCCTGGACCGCGGATGTCTGGACAAAGATGGAAAATAACAGGGTAAATCTTCAAAAGAAGAATGCAAGCTACCAATTGCTATACTAAAAAAAAAAAATCCAAAACAGTGATAATTAAAAAAATACAGATTAAAACAATTCTGAAGTTCCACTCCATACATATCAGCTGAGCAAAGATTGTAATAAAATAAGAAAGGAAACAAACGTTTATTAAGCTCCTGTTATGTGCCAGACAATGTGCTAAGTACTTGACAAATATTATCTCATTTGACTCTCACAACAGCCTTGGGACGTAGGTGCTCCATTTTACAGTTGAGGAAACTGAGACAGATGGAGGTTAAGTGACTTGCCCAGGGTCATACAATTAGTATCTGTATGAGGCTACCTTTGAACTCAGGTTTTCCTGACTCTAGGTCCAGTACGATAACCACTGTACTACCTTGTCACCTAAATGTCACTTGTCTTCCCATAGGCAGAGTAATGTTGGAAAGCACTTTGGAATTATATCCCCCAAATGAGTAACCTGTGCATATCCTTCATCTTTGCAAAACCAATTCTTGTCATATATGCCAAACAGGTCAAAGACAGCGGGAAAGGATCCATATATACAAATATATTTATAGCAACAATTTTTGTCATAGTGAAGAACTGGGAACAAATTCAGTACTCATTAATTGGGGAATAACTTTAAAAATTTTATTAGATGAATGTAGTGGAATGTGATTGGGCCTTAGAAAGTGATGAAAGGGATGGATTCAGGTAATCCTAGGAAGGCTTTTATGAACTGATGGAGAATGAAGTATACAGAACCAGGGGGACAATTTATATTCAATCTACAACAATGTAAAAAGAAAACAACTTTGAAAGACTTAAGAACTCTAAT